AGGCAACGAACTCCATGGCTGGAGACCCTCGTCGAAACGGTTCGTCGTGAGAACGAAGCTGCCTGAGAAGGGCCAGGTACATCGCGAGATCAAAATCCCTCGCTGAGACATCGCAGGGGAAGACAAAGACGCCGAAGTGGCAGAATTCTGCTGCGGGGATTCAGCAGAATAATTTTGTCACAGGGCGAGCACTGACAGGACTTCCAGATCTGACAGAACTGACAGAACTAGCTGAGCGCTGTCCAGGTGACAGAGGATCGCTGAGAGAGCGGGAAAGAGATCCATCAGCTCCACTGGATGCCGAGTAGGAAGAACTCGCAGAACGACTTGATAAGGCCATGGCGAACAAATCTTGATACCACGGGCATCAATGCAACACAGCTACATGTATACAGAAGCTTGCGAGAAAGAAGCGAAAGTTCAAAACGTAAGATCTTCGCGAAAGTTCATTTCCTTTTTCGTTACTCGTGCCCAGACTACGTCTTAGTTACGAACTTTCGTTGTACACAAACTCTCTTTTATGGCTACAACATCTAGTAGACGACGCAGCTCGATTCTGTGTGCAGTCCTTGAGACGAAGGCGCTTGAATTGGACGACGATATTTTTTACGGATTCAGCGCTGGCACCCGAGAGTCGTCCGCGAGCGAGTCCGACACCGATGCTGACAGCGACGGCGATGATATGCCACCTAAGAAGAAGACGTATGGAGTCACAGCAAGCTCGATTGCTGCTAGTGTTGTGTCGAAACGCCAAGCCCCGACAACTCGGAAATTTCAAATGCGGAGAGTGACACCGACTACTCCGAATTGGATGACGAACCAGATGCCCCCGCACCTGAGCCACCGACGACGGAGCAGGTGAAGCGTGGTCTCCTGTCTTAAGACATACACTGACTAGAAGCATGTGAAAGTCGATGGCTGGTCTTGGTGATCGACCTTTCTATTTCTGCTATCATGTACGTGGTTACGAGTTGTGCAAAGACGTGTTCATGGCAGTTCATGCTGTTGGAAGTCATGTAATGAAGCGCCTTCAAAAAAGGCAAACAAAGGAGTCGTTCAACTGGCACACCCTGGCCTGACTGGGAGAACGCCAGAGAACTTAGCCATTTCAGCAGATATAGAGCAGGATGTAGTGCACTTTTTTATTCATACGCTAACATGTACGGTCTACCTCAACCTGCAGCGGAGCGAGATCGTGCTGAGGACCCTCCAGTATACGTACCAGCATCCAAGAACAAGAAGTCTGCATACAACATCTATACCAAGACCGTCACACAGTATTCGCCTGTTCATTACAGGTCATTTTGTCACATTTGGAGGAGACAGGCAGCACACATCAAAGTCATGAAGCCAAGGACAGACGTATGCGCACTGTGTGACAAGTTGCGGGACAAAATTCGTGTCGCCCATACAGAGGAAGAGACGGAATGTAGTGTCCAGGCCCTGCGTTCGCACATATCACTAGCACAAGAGGAGCGGTAGTACTACTGAGATTTAGTGGACGGCACGCAGGCGTCACTGGATGAAGCTGAGGGCATAGTTCACTATACATTTGAACTGCCTAACTAGCAAGAATGAGGATATACAAAGAACATCACAAACTGTATACATAATTATAATTGCTCTATATCGCTCAATTGATATGCCATTGTTAAATAGGTGGCTAGGCACATTTACCATCGCAGATCAACTTGAAATTTAGTTTTAGCACATTACCATACCATACAAACATTTCGAGAGAAACAAATTTCGCCAAAAGTGCTATAGGGTGGTTTCTGTAGTCCCTGGCTCAAATATTGAGCAATTCTCGATTTTTGCAGTCGAAGCACGATATTTTTGCGTCCTTAGACTCTTGAAACTGGCCGTGCGCCGACCACGGCGTGACATAGCAGATCGACGAATTTGATGGAGTTGATCGACAATCAAGGTCAGAATCAAAATCTGGACAACGAAGGCTGGATGAACAGCGGTACTGGCCGAGTATGAGTGACTGGAACTTGCTTCCCGTGTGCACCAAAGCCAAAGAACATGCACACGCACACCATTATATTATTTTGATCTACTAACTGAGTTGCTCTTTCCTTTGTCCTTGTATTTATGATACACGCGCAAAGTTCTCGAGCCAATGAACGCAGTGGATTCCGTTCCTGCCAGTTGGCACCAGACGACGGGCAGTGGATCTAGTTCCAGCACCTTTGATCAGGCAGGACCGCGCTGTCCAGCCCGTGATCTGTCATTGGTAGTCTCCAAGGCGACAATCACATGACATACCGAAAATACAAAGCTTTCACAATTGTAAGCACATGCCCATGAAAACCAACAGAACGGATCTCCACATTTCATGACTTTCTATCGATTTTTTCGAGATAGTGGTGGTGTTCCTATTTGACAACACGCGCGTGAGCGGTAGTTAACCTTGACTTGTCTGTCAACAACTGACAACAGTGATGTCAAATGCCTGTCCTTTGGTTGCACCAGCTGGCTTATCTAGTCTATTTCTAGACTTTTGAGTTCCAGTCTTACTGTCAACTTTAGTATCTGCTGTGAGATACCATCCAGGTACATGTATGTGAGGATAATTCTGGCAACATCCCATCCCTGCAACACTCTATAGAACGTGAGTGCTCATGCCCAATGTGCGAAACACCGGCGTCCAAAGTGGTCGACCTATTGCGCGACTGGCGCTGATCGCATTGGAACGAGATGTCCTGAAGTAGAATTAAATTTACAAAGAACCAGGTTGTACTTGCTAGCAGCGGCGAGTATCCAGTATCAGCTTGTTTGCGTATATTGTGTGCACAATGGAAAGGAGACGCAAAGCCATTGGAGTGCTTACGGGTTTTAGAGGTGAGTTACCTATTCATATGGGTGTGACTACTTCAAAGTAGATGACTTGTTGGCTATCTTTGCACAACTGATGGGCATGGAGTGTGGAGGTGTACGCTGCTTTTTGAAAACGTGGCTATTCTGACGTTACCGCAATACTATGGGATATATTTAGGAGAGGATGCATGCCGCAGGATATCTGACACCATGTGGACACGCGAGCCTACATGTACATTAGGTGAATGGACATAATTTTTACGAGATATATAAACATTTGTTCTCGCTCCACATATACTGGCACACACGGAGACATAGACAGCAATAGCGACAACACACAAAGAGAAGGGTAGGTGGCCGCAGCCAGATGTGAACCGGAAAATGAGTGAGGTATGGAAGCAAGGACTGAGAACAGAGGGTCTAAGATAGAACAGGCGTGCCAGTGGATAACAGAAATAGGCCATGATGCAGAACCACTTGGGACCGTCAGATTAATTTTCCTGAACCGGGCCAGACGGGAAAAAAACCCTGGCGCCGACGTACGCAGTTGTGAGGGACAAAACCGGGTTTATATCCCCAATGACGATTACGCATCATGTAGGCATGGCAAGCACATCATGGCCAAAAGTGATAAAAAAGCAATGATAATATGCACAGGAATGAAGGGTGGGAGGGCAGGGACACTGGTGAAACTCAAAACTGACTGAAGAAACCATGCGAAAGTGCTCGTTGCATAACTTACAGACACCTAGGAACTGGGGACCACCTCGAAATGGGCCCAAAATACGACTGAATATTGGGTCCAAGAACGAGCGCTGGTACAGCGTACACGAGTGAGCTGAGAACAAACGACCATCATGCCAACATTACCTCACCTGAGTAGTCTTCACATCAACACCACATAGAGCCATGGCTACATCTAGGAACGCAATGGCCATCATCAACAAATATCACTAAATTGCTTGGCTAAAATAGCCAGATTTCAACGGCCAGAGCGAGAACAATTTGCGGCGCATATTTTCTGAACCATGCATTGCCGGACAGTGGACTATCTCCACTACCACCCAGGACATGTCTCGTAAAAGTGTTCCACGTTTTCTGGAAATAAACAAATTTGAATATTTTCGCTTCACCAAATTGCAACATTGCCAAATTCCTACCTGACGACGGAAAGCGCCTCCTCAAGCTCCAACACCAGGCACCGCTCCAGACGCCAGCACACCAAACACTGCAGCGTGGTCACCTCTACTGAGTCTTGCAAGAAATTTGAACTGACAACTCTTGTCACCCCAAAACACCAACCATTTCCTTCCCTGAATTTAACGAATCGAATTTCACTAACAGAAAAGCCCTGCAGAAGTGCAATAAATACTGAGCAAACCTCGATTGTTCAGTCCTCATACTCTTGAAACTGGCCGTCCGCCAACTACTGCGTGACATAGCAGATGGACGGATTTGATCGAGTTGATCGACAGTCAAGATCAGAATCAAAATCTGGACGACGAAGGCTGGATGAACAGCGGTACTGCTCGAGTATGAGTGACTGGAACTTGCTTCCCGTGTGCACCAAAGCCAAATAACATGCACACGCACACCATAATATTATTTTGATCTACTAACTGAGTTGCTCTTTCCTTTGTCCTTGTATTTGTGAAACAAGCGCAAAGTTCGTGAGCCAATGAACGCAGTGGATTCCGTTCCTGCCAGTTGTGACTTGAAGACGGGCAGTGGACCTAGTTCCATCACCTTTGATCAGGCAGGACCGCGCTTTCCAGCCCGCGATCTGTCATCGGGCGACTCCAAGGCGACAATCACATGACATACGGAAATACAAAGCTTTCACAACTGTAACCACATGCCCATGGAAATCAGCAGAATGGAGCTCCACATTTCATGATTTTCTCTCGATTTTTGCGAGATAGTGGTGGTGTTCGTATTTGACAACACGCGTGTGAGCGGTAGTTAACCTTGACTTGTCTGTGAACGACTGACAACAGTGATGTCAAATAGCTGTCATTTGGTTGCACCAGCTGGCTTCTCTAGTCTATTTCTAGACTTTTGAATTTCAGTCTTACTGTCAACTTTAGTATCTGCTGTGAGATACCATCCAGGTACATGTCTGTGTGAATAATTCTGGCAACATCCCATCCCTGCAACACTCTACAGAACGTGAGTGCTCATGCCCAATGTGCGAAACACCGGCGTGCAAAGTGGTTGACCCATTGCGCGACTGGTGCTGATCGCATTGGAACGAGATGTCCTGAAGTAGAATTAAATTTACAAAGAACCAGGTTGTACTTGCTAGCAGCGGCGAGTATCCAGTATCAGCTTGTTTACGTATATTGTGTGCACAATGGAAAGGAGACGCAAAGCCATTGGAGTGCTTACGGGTTTTAGAGGTGAGTTATTGATTCATGATAATATCATACTTCCTCCGCTAACAAAAACTTTGGGATGGATTTTGATGGATATAAAAACGCTTAGAACAGGTCAAGAACAGTTTGTCTCGACTGCAAATCACTAGATGAAGGTGATTCAGCCTATGTACAGCCTCTTTAGGCCGCGGTCACACATGAAAAGCTTGCACCGCTTTTGCGGAGGCGGAAAGCGGAACTACCGCAGCCGCTTTGGCGGGCCACACGATGCAGCGGTCACACATACATGTAGACTACTGTGCTCCTCAACGCTCCGCTTTGGCGGAGAGAATGCAAATGCAGCACGTCCTATGAAATTTTAGATGTTCTTGTCCGAGTTGAAGCGACCTTCGCTTGTACAAGTAGAGCTATCGTGGATCGCTGACAGGCTGCTGAATGTCTCCTGTCAAGTACACTTGTGGATTTGGGGCGCATTCACTGCGGCCCAGTACAGGTGTATTTGAATAATTATTACTAGTTTGGTTTACATCAATATCAAATTCAAATAGTTGTATAGCAGGGTGTCGTTGCCTCCTTCTTGTCTGAGTTGAAGCGACCTTCGCTTGCACAAGTAGAGCTATTGTGGATCGCTGACAGGCTGCTGAATGTCTCCTGTCAAGTACATTCGTGGATTTGGGGCACATTCACTGCGGCCCAGCACGGGTGTATTTGAATATTAGTTTACATCAATATCAAATTCAAAATAGTTTTATAGCAGGGTGTCGTTGCCTCCTCCATGATCCATCATCGACCCAGCGACTGCGTGGATGCCTGCAGTTGCAGTGAGGGTGTGGCTGAGTACTCTACTACTCCCTGGTTGCAGTCCTAGTGTTGCATACTCTGGTAGACGTATTGCTTGGAGAGAGAAGGAGAGAGTTGGAGATCGTCCGCGATCAGGGCCAATGAGTTGGGAGACGGATTCCCTCACCAATTATCCACTCATAACGATGCAGTATTGTTTGCGAGATCTCCAGAACGTACAGTTCATTGGCAAAGAAGAACAATATGAAAACTGAATACCAAACGGCAAACAAACAACACCAGAACTCAGTGCAGAAGTAGCACACCAAACTCCAAAGCCATCACCACGCAGGTTCCGCCAAAGCGGATCCGCGAAAGCGGAGGCTCCGCTCGCATTTTTTTGGCGTAGCGAAATCCAGACTTTCCGCCAAAGCGTAACTTACGCCTCCGCCGTTGCCGAGGCAACGGCGGAAGCGTAAGTTACGCTTTGGCGGAACCGCCAAAAAAGTGCATGTGTGACCGGGGCCTTACAAGAGAAACTGTTGGCGGAATGAGAATAGAGTTCAGTTTGCGTCGCTTTCGCTCGATTCATTTTTGACCTGCGTCGCTGTCGTCATCTGCTGCACGCGAGTCGTCACCTGCTGTACGCGAGTCGTCATCATTCTCGAGTCGTTGTTCAGCTCGTTTCAGCCTTGCCTCGGCTTCTTTGATCACACTCCGCTTGATGTCGCCGTCGTTCAAGTAAGTTTGCTTTCAAGCTGCGTGATCCGCCGCGATGGCCTTTACTCGTTTCCACCAGGGAGTCGTGAAAAATATTTTATGACTCCCTGGTTTAATCTTCGCCCTCCAGAACTCTGCGAAACGAGACGTAAAGGCACAGCCAAACTAATTCCATTTTCTCTAATGGATACCAGTACTGAACGGCAGCGGCTAGCAAGTCCAGTCGACTTTCTTTAGCCACGAGACTCGCATCGGACTGCAGACTGCTGAAAAATGCATGGTCATCAGCATTCGAACCTGGGCTTTGCGCAGGTTGAACAAGAACTTGAGTTCAGAATTATTTTCATTGAGCCGTGCGATCGGAGCAGCTCCTTGTTCACTGTGGCTATTCTGACGTTACCACAATGCTATCGGATATATTTAGGAGAAGATGTATGCCGCAGGATATCTGACAACATGTGAACACGCGAGCCTACATGTACATTAGGTAAATTGGACCCAATTTTTACGAGATATATAAAAAATTGTCCTCGCTCCACATATACTGACACACACAGAGACATAGACAGCAATAGCGACAACAACCAAAGAGAAGGGTAGCTGGCCGCAGCCAGATGTGAACCGGATAACAAGTGAGGTATGGAAGCAAGGACTGAGGACACAGGGTCTAAGATAGAATAGGTGTGCCAGTGGATAGCAGAAATAGGTCATGATGCAGAACCACTTGGGACTGTCAGATAAATTTTCCTGGACCGGGCCAGACGGGAAAAACACCCTGGCGCCGACGTGCGCAGTTGTGAGGGAAAAAACCGGGTTTATATCCCTAATGACGATTACGCATCATGTAGGCTTGGCAAGCACATCATGGCAAAAGTGATAAAAAATCAATGATAATAATTATGCACAGGAATGAAGGGTGGGAGGGCAGGGACACTGGTGAAACTCAAAACTGACTGAAGAATTCAGGAAAAGAAGCGACAATAATGAATATAATATATTATGGCAAATATGGCATTTAATGCCATATTTAATGCCATATTTGCAACTGATAATATTTCGCTGCGCTCGGCCGGTTTGTTTGTTTGTTTCTTTTATTTGAATTCGTTTAGAGCACAGGCAATTCTGCCTTCTCACCAGAGGAAAAACCTCCGGTTTCTGCTAAGAACGAATATAATATTATGAGAGAAGGAAATATTAAAAAGAATCATAACAATCATGATAATTCCAAAGCACAAAGTTTGTATATAATTCAAATGGGTGTGTGTATGTGTAAGCATGCAGTGAAGAAAACACCGAGAAAACATGCAGTAATGTGTAGGGATGCCGAGCAAGGTGGTTACAAATTACAATTAATTCTGTTTAAAGCCAGTTTAAAGGCAACCGCCGCACTGTGGAGGCGAATATCGCTGGGAAGGGAATTCCAAAGAGTGCTTCCCACAAATGTCAATGACTGACGACCGGAAGGTCCAGGAAGGAAAGGCACTTGCAGTAGCCGCTGCTCCTGTCCTCGAGTAATTCGGCGATCATCCCGGGATGCTTGGCCTGTGTTAGCCATCAACTGAAAATAGGTGCAGAAAAGAGGACTTGCAAGAATCAGATCATGTAGGCAACGGAAAACAAAAAATAAAACCTTGTAGTTAAGAATGTGAGTTAGGGATCGAATAGATAAGCGCACGAGGAGGGGGGCTGTGGATGCACGGCTGGAGAGTCGGAAAATTGCACGAATTCCGGATTTGCTGGATTTGATTAAACGACTCTGCAGCTGCTGTGTCAGCGACGGGAAGAATGCATTGGATGCGTACGTTAGTCGTGCTTGCACAATGCCAATGTACCAAAGTCTGCGGGCTCTTATGGGCAGAGATCGCCCATGGCGCCATAGCTGGCTGATGGCGACTGACGCCTTCTGCACAACACTGGAGACATGGGGCTGCCAGGATAGCTGGTCATCAATGGTTACGCCAAGGTATTTGGCAGTGGAGGTAACAGTTAAGGCTTGATCCTTACATTTCACGACTGGTATGTCGCCAGTGAGTCCCCGAGGTTGAATTACCATGACTTGGGTTTTGCAGGTATTCAGCAGAAGCCCAATTTCGGAGAGCCAGTCAGACAGACGTGTCACAGCCGTAGTCAACGTCTTGCAAACAGTGTCCAGATCTGAATCAGAATAATCTAGGATGATGTCGTCCGCGAACTCCTGATGAACAACAATGCAAGGTATGACGTCGGAAATGTCACTCGTGTAAAGGACAAAGAGAAGCGGCCCAAGAACACTGCCTTGGGGCACACCTCTTGAGCATGGGACTGCATCAGAAAGAGCCTCACACACCTTGACACGTTGAGTACGACCAGACAGATAGCTAGCCAACCATAACAATACTCTGCCATTGACTCCCAGGGTGAATAGTACTTAGGAATACTGGTTGACGAACATCTGTCTTTCTCAACCCAAGTGGATGCAGTATGTGCAAATGTCAATAGGAAGGTTGGAGCATTTGTCCACGCAAAGCAGAATATCAGCATTTTTGGCAAACGACTTTTCTATTTATCGATCATTCAGTCCACATTTGAGTTTGGCAGCACTGCATATATTCATTGCTTATCACAAGCCCTATATGACAAGCTTCTTACTGCCAGCCGCGTAGCATTAAAGAGAATATTTTCGTTGGATAGAATGACTCCCACCACTCTTCTATACAGTCATACTAACTTGTACGCCCTTGAGAAACGCCTCAACTTCAAAACCTATGTATTTGTTTACCGCTGCCTGAATGGACTTGCTAGTCCTCTTCTGCGAGACCGCTTTACCTTGCGCGCCCATGGTGCTCGCACTGCAGCCACCACCCGTGGCCAAGTCTCTGCTGCTCTTGTTCTGCCCCCCGCTAACACCCGATATGGCTTTAGTGCAATTTCTTATTTGGGCGCTGCCAGGTGGAATACACTTCCACCGGCTTGCCGCATGTCTAGTTCACCAGCTGAATTTCGCTCATCCATCAAATTATACCTAGGGTTCCCTGTAAAAAGGCGCTGACGCCTGTTGGGAATTCCCTCAAACCAGTCAAAATAATAATATAATAATAATAATAGTTTATCAATCAGACGTTGATGTTGGACACGGTCAAACGCTTTTGACATGTCAACCATCACAATACCTGTGTATTTTCGCTCTTGTTTGGCCAACAGCCAACGGTTGGCGGCTAGAACTAATGCATCTTCGGTAGAGTGCATTTTCCTGTAGGCAAACTGACTGCTAGGTAATATGCTATGTTGCGTGAGGTATGCTGTGAGTTGCTTCTTTACAAAGAACTCCAAAATCCGGGACAGAATAGGGAGCAATGACACTGGTCTATAGTTAGTAGGGGATGTTGCATCGCCACTCTTGAACAGTGGACTAATGTGTGATGTTTTAAAACACACTGGCACAGGGCCTGATGTCAAGGATGCATTGACTAGGGTGGTAAATGGACGTGCCAGGACATGTGAACACTGCTGCAGTACAATTCCAGGAATGTTGTCACTCCCAGATGCTTTGTGAGGACTCACAGTTTGCAAGCATTGTGCAACATCAGACACGCTTACCGGCTGAAATGTTGAGAAGCTAGATGCAGAGGCTGGACCATGTGGTATATGCAGCTCAGGTGGCCGCATAGGGTCATGCACAATGTCTCCAAAAAATTTACTGAGTGACTCAAGCGGCGCTTCAGGTTCTTTCCGTGTCTTCTGTCGGCCTGTGACATCGTTCATGACAGCCCAAAGTTGCCGTTGATCTGATGTATCACATCTCTTAGTGAAGTACAAGTTGCGCAGACTCCTGTCCAACTTCCGTGCTTTGGAGCGAGCTGATCGGTGTGCTTCTTGAAGGTTCTGATCGGTTTTGTCTCGGAGCCAGAGACGATGCGCCTGGTTCCGTTCACGAACACTTGCCACTAACTCATCTGTAATCCAGGGGCAAGGACGTCGAGATTTGCGGCGCCGTTCCCGAAGTGGAGCATGTTTGTCTAGAGTGGTCTGGATTCCCGCAGTGAGTGACGACGCAAGCACATCCACACAGACAGAGTCACAGGTAGTTAGCGTCTTCTCCAGGTCACATGTAAACATATTCCAATCCACTTTGTGCAAACAGCGAGTCTTGCGCAGATGCTGTCCCTTCAAGTGGTGACTTGCTGAAATTGGCAGCCTGGCAAGTATTGCAGAGTGGTCACTGATATCCAAATGTATGGTCTCGCAAACACCCTGGATCGGGGTGGTAGACAAGAATAGATCCAGTAGTGTGGCAGTACTGCTGGTTACTCGGGTAGGAGATGTGACGTGGTTGCGAAGGTTAAACTGGTTGAGTACATGATGCAAAGGAGTCACAGCATGGGCATCATTAAAGTTTACGTTGAAGTCTCCTACTAGCACAGTTGTGGTCTGCGGTCCACTGCAGGCAGTCTCTAGATTTGACTCCAGCCCATCCCAGTAGCCCGCAGATTCACTAGGTGGTCGATAGCAGCAGCCCAGTAAGACTGTCTCATTGCCTGGTCGACTTGGGGCTAGAATCTCCAGCCACAGCATCTCCAGCTCACACTCGAGGTCACGTCTTCGACGGACTTGCAAGGACGTATGACAGTAGAAGGCAACACCGCCTCCTTGCCTGCCTTCCCGATCTTTGCGGAACACACTGAAATGAGGAATGTTTACTTCTCTGTCTGTTACATCGGCTGACAGCCAAGTTTCCGCAAGGCCTAGGATGTGTACTCCACGGGTTGAGATAAAGTCTTCAATTTCTGCTACTTTTCTCCTAAGGCTACAGACATTTAAGAAAGCTACACTGGTCATGATCTAATACGATATGGTGAGTTCGCCAACTGTCATATGCCGGTCGTTGCTCTCGTTGTTACCCATGACCATGTCCTCCTGTTTCATGTCCGAGTCGGTCAGTAGCTCATTTACTGAAAAGTCAACAAATTTTTGTTTGGCACTCTGAAGGTTTTCCGTCCCTTGGCCACCATAAAGCCTCCCTTGTCATCTGGAGGGCAGTGAGCAGTTCCCAGCTCCTTGTTAAGCTGGTCTGGTTTGGCTGATTCCTGACTAGGTGAAGAAACTTGAGGTGTCCCAGTTTCAGGTGCTGAAGCTGTACTGCTTGCTGACTGGCTGGAACTCACTGTTGGTTCTGAATTTGCACCCACTGTGTCATCCAGTGTCCCCTGGCCCTGAGTACATGTACCCTTCAGCGCGCTGGCTGCTGCATCAGCGTACGGACTGGGCCTCCTGGCCTGGTGGGTGCAGAGTTTGGCGATATGAGTGCTGGAGCCACACTTGTAGCACGTGGGAACTTGACCCCTGTGCCAAACTCGCAGTTTCTGACGGGACTCAGACAACATGATGGTGGAGGGTACGATAGCTGTGGGTACTAAGTTTACGAATGTAGTACCAGTTGTGAAGGTGCAGCCTTCCACAGCCTTTGTTTCCCGCTTCGGAACACCAATGACGGATCCAAATTTCTCCATCGCGGACGTAATGGCGGACAGTGGGGTGTCATCCGCCACACCAAATATATGCACGGACACAACTGCTCCATCACCAACTACTAATACTAGTTGTTTTCCTTCAAATTCTAACCCTCTGGACAACACCTCGTCCCTCACGGCAGTGCAGGAAAACGAAACTCTACAGAATCCGCGCCTTCCACTCAGATCCACCTGCTTGATATCATCAGGTTTTACACCACCTGACAGAAGAAGTCTGATGAAAAAGGCATGATCCTTCGAGGACCACCCTTCATTCAGCTGAATGGAACAGATTCTAGACATCTTTATGACAATTCTACACGCTCTCTAGCCAGTTTCTGCAGAAAAATGTATCACTATCGGAGCTCAAAAGTTTGCTTCCACTCCCCACGCGTACACACTGTGGTATGCCGGTGAGAAATACAACATCATGCCGGTATATACTGGCACATCGCTGTGAACAAAATGATACACAAACATATTGACATCAGATGGACTCGACTTGCGGACATTTGCGGACTCATCAGAGCCTCACAGAGACAGTCAGGCAGAACCTGATAACAATGGCAATGACAATAATGTTTCCAGAGCAGGCTCGAAAGTAATTCTCTGCAGTGCTCAAACTGGCAAGTCAGTGAGCTCTGCGTTTCAAAATAACGAGATATATCGACATTTGATTTTTACTGGTCTCCTCCAACGGGCTTCTCTGCTCACGGTTGCGAAAAGTTGCTAAAGTTGCGATCTCTTCCAAAAACAACCAGGAGTTGCGAAAAAAAGTGGCGAGCATCTTTGGGAAAGGGCTATTCCCCACCTGTTCGTATTCTCTAAAATAAGTGTCGGCATTCATGTTCGCGGTCACGTGACGGCAACTAAAAAATTATTATAGTATGGAATACTGAATGTTACTAATAATTACTGTTGAATGTTTCTGTTTGTCGATTTGCTCATTGTACAGCCTGTTGGCTCATGGCAGTATGTATCTGTTTAGAGAATCAAGGTGTGAAAGGTAATTATCTATTCGTTATTTTATTCTTTTACTATTTTCAATGGATTGAGGGAAAAGACACAAACGGGAAAAGTCTGAAGCAAAAATTGACTGTCACCACCAGGAATCGAACTAGGGGCCTTCGCTTGTAGCCAGCGATGCTCTAACCACTGAGCTATTGTGTTGTCGTCATCCCAGCAGAGACCGTTCAATATTTTCTTTAGACTTCGTTTTGTTTTTTTCACTGTTATTCTAAATTCGTAACATACATATAAATAGGTGGAAAAAAACAAGCAGCTACTGAGTAGAGGCTGCACTAGGCAGCACTAATAGTGAAGTGCAAGAGGCTTCACCGACCAAATGTCTTGGTTTCAATGCCACGAGCATGCACGGAGAAAAAAGAAGAAGAAAATTGAAGCGAAGCTAGATTTAATTATGGAGAAGTAGAATGGGTAGAGTGAAGGTAAAAGTGCCGGTATACCATTATTTAACTCGGGTGGAGAGCCAAGGATTAAATTGAAAAAGAGGACCAAAAGTTCAACAATGTTCTGCTTATAACCGTTAGTGTTGGACAAAACAGATAACTTGTAAACTTATGGTATACCATTATGTTGTTAGAAAAATCAAAAACAAGATAAGGAGAGTATATTTTGCAAGCAGGCGTTTTAACTTTTCGGTGTTCATGACCACCATTCTGATTATTATCCTGATGATGGTCATGAAAACTGAAACGTTGAAACGATATTTTTGTGAAATACAGTGCTCTCTTGAGTGTAGGCAGGTTGCCTGCAAACTATTCCTTCAAAATTTTGATAAAGAAGGAGATTGTGATTTATCAGTTTTTCGATTGATGTACCATGCATGCAAAACACAGCTGAGAACTCTGAGCAAGGCCAGGTACGCGACTTAGCGGGTCTGGCAAGCAACGAGCCCGAACATTACAGGAAATCTGTTGTCCAGTACCAAATGCTGTCTCTCAGGTGTCTGTAGACTTTTATCTTGCTTGACTGAAAACGTTTTTTGTGCGGGTGTTGCGCCAGCAGCGTGTCAGGTAAGGATTTCAATGCGCCAATACAGCAGAACGGGAACGACTGCGTCAAGACGGGTGGAACTGACACAGGGGAGGGGTCTGACAGTTGATAAGGGCGGCTATTGGCATTACTGTGCCGGTTCCTGATTTTGGGATTGGCTGGAGAAACGCTATACGGTGGCAATACAGCAAGTAGCTGAGGAGGACCAGTGATTAAATGCATTGTGTACATGAAGGAGAGAGCAGAAACAGTCCCGCGGACAGCCAGACTGGGGTGAATTGCAGTCCTCTGGACAGCTCGCTGGCGTTAGAACTTCAATGATATGAGCTGCTCGTCGTAGAAAGCTAAGGCGCTCCTGGAGGCCGATGGTTAGGGTCCTGAGGTGACTAAGCGAAGGACAGTTTGGAGCCAAATCGAATTCAAATCAATGATATGCTGGTTTCCTCCGGTGCAGGGGTGCCACCAAACAGGATTTTGGGCAGGTCCAGGTCAGTGCCTCGGAGGTTTGCAGTCATAGCCTGTGACCTGGCGGGCTCGAATATCACTTTCCACTGCCAACCCCACTCATGCAGGCCGCCTGTAGGTATCTGCAAGGTCAGTACAGCGTCCTGAGGGCACTGAGCTGAGGATACTAAGCTGTATAGTGTTGTATTTTCCGCGGAGGCCTCAAGCTTACCATTGGCAGCAAGAGCATCGGTAGCGTCATTCACATAATAATTATCATTAAAAAAAGAAAAAAATTCAAGGTTCGCGTGAGACTCGGTTGGAAACCGAGTTTTCGCATCCGCCATGGGAACGCCACCCCTCTCTAGGATCAAGGCGCAGTTGCAGCGCCTAAACGGTGGGAGGTGAGTAGATCAGACCCACCACCAAGCGGTCAAAGACCGAAATCCCATTAGCTGCATCCATGTTTTTTAATAACACCTTAAAACTAAATATATAAACGTAAATTATCGGGTCCGTTCCCGAAGGGAACTCACGACGGCAACTAACACCCCGTAAGCCCTAGCGGCAGATGTGGTGGGGGTGAGTGGATAAGTCTCACAACCACTGGCACAAGTGCCCAGAAACCCCATTAGCTGCATCCATGTTTTTTTTTTGTTTTTTTTCGATAGTGAGGAAAATGTTATCAACTCCAAAGCACGAAAAAGGCCAAAAACTAAACCAAGAACATATGCAATAACATGTTATTTATAAAGACAGGACAAGTGAATAATTAGTCAGTCCATTGTTCATGATGATCTCCGACGGTTACGTCGGCAAGCGAGCCTCCGCCACTGCCAAAGCAGCGTGGGCTTCGCAGGAGGGTGCAAATTTCAAACCAAAATTTAAACGCCTTCAACCGCGAATGCACATGATACAGGATTTCAGAAGGCTGAAGGAAATCCTGCATCTAACAAATGCCATAACATGAGAGTAATGCTCACCCCTCTTCTCCGCCAACAGATGAGCAATTCGTTTGTACAGTGCTGTTGATGCTGGACCCATTCCGCCACTGGCTGACATGACCGCCGGAACAAAGGAGGCTTGCTCAACCTGCCTCACCCGCTCCTCATAGTGCCTTCTCTTTTCTTTTTCATGTCGCTGATACACAATAGTATGTGGTTGAGGTCGATTTGAGCGTGAGTGAGGATTAAAAACCCGTATATCAATAAGTGTACGCTCAAAACGACTGCCCCACAAACCATTGGCAGCGACATCCAACCGGGCACGGTCTTCCACATTTGCGGTCCGGTAGCGAAGACGCTCCCCCGTCAGAGGTTGCAGCAAGGGCTCGATGGACACACTGGTGCACACCTCGTCCAGCAGCTGGGCTGTGACGTCCCGAATACCATTGTGTCTAATGGAGGGAAACCCTCCATAGGGGCACGACAGGGAATGCGCGACAGTTGCCTCTTGGCCGCAAGAGCAGTGTGACGGTACCCTGGCCGGTGTCCATCCGTAACGGAGACAAAGTCCGTCCCAAAACTCTCCCTTTGTTAAATTAAAATGATATTTCTTAAGTGGACGGCACGTCAGCCAGCTGGACGACCGTTTCTCCTTCGCGACGTCTATGACATGTCGTAGCGACTCCGACGCACTGCCCGATATCGCGTCAAATTCCAGTTTCTGATGACGTCGAGAAGATGCCTTGGCGTCTCTCTTGGCCGAGCTGATTAACACTACCGAGTCACCGATGGTGTCATTCCCTGACAAGATTCTCCGAGACAAAGGGTTGGTCATCCGAACCGACGAGTCGTATTGTTGGCATAGGGACACAGGGTTAATCAAACCGAGCCCACCCAGACGACACGGCAAAGCCATAAGCCGTCGGAGGGTGTCGCCTGGGGGTGCACGGCAAGTTAAGGCTGGAATCAGTTCAGACTTCACAATGTCCTCCAGCGGTTCGAACATGGGTTCGGGTACCCTCATGGTACGACAGAGGAACGCCCATCTACCCCTGAGGCCCGTCACATACGCAGAATACGCAGCCTGCGGCTGGGTTTGTGCAAATACTGCTAGCTTCTTCAGTTCCCCCATCCATTCGTCCACCTTTGTTTTGATATAGCTTTGAAGAAAGCTGTCCCTTCCGATTGCTACGCCAAGATATCGTGATCCCTCGTCCGTTATCATTACACCAGTGTCTCGAAACAATTCAGTCGCCTCCTGGTAACACCTTTCCTTGACGACAAGGACCGATTTCTTTGGGTTTACGTAATATCCATATGCCGGTCCTCTCTTGTCCATTATGTCCCACCATAGACGGAGTCTGCGAAGACGAGCAGCAGCGGATGAATCGTCCGCGAACCATGACTGCACCGCACCCGCCTCATCCGCCAAACGTATCAAGGGCATTATTCCCAACGCGTACATGTACATTGCAAGGGGATCACCCTGTGTTGTCCCTTCTTGCGACAGGATACTTTCATCGTCCACGTAGAGATGAGCTGGATCACGGTAGGTATTAATTAGAACGGTAGCAAGTGATGGACACAAGTGCCGAACATTTCTTAAGCAAGTCTGTCGATTTAGTCTGTTGAACGCATTACTTGCATCCGCCATCAGAATTCTTTCGGTGTCATCCAGCTCAAAGGCCTGCTGCATCGCATGTATTCCCGCCTCTATACCGCAATCCTGGCCAGCGCATAGCTGTATACACCCAACCGCCTCCTGAACGGCTTGGCCTACGACGGAGAGGATGGCTTTGCTTATAATGCGTCGAGCGACCTCACCTATTCCAATCGGCCGGACACCGGGTTGCTTGTCCAACGCTATCAATCTGCTCGCAGTGAAAGCCGACAAAGATGCTGGGTGCACGTACGTGGAGGCTTAAACGCCTTGCACACGATGCTACTGCATCGCAAAGGCCCTGGGAGGCGTCAGAGAAACTAGCGCAAAAATGCCTCCAGTTCTCGGCGTCAACACCACTTGGCCCCGCAGCACCCTGCGTACCGAGCGCTGCACTCTTAATCGACTGACGTCCAAGGCTGCTGAAATAGATCGGATGAGGTGGAGCAGGTGGATCACCACCAATAACGGCGTCCTCGCTCATCGGCTCTGCGGGTGGATGTTTGTCTTTCAGGATATCCCGGACAGTGCGTCCGTCAATCTCGTCGTCCAACTGATGCATGCCTCCATCATCACCACTTGTCAAGCCACGGAGCGCCTTGCCCACTTTGCCCGCGGTGACATAATCTGCAAAACGCCTAGCAGGGTCAACCGATGGACCCACTGAATCACGTTTATGTTTGTTCTTGGACGATAGAAGAGAGGTCTGTATGGTGTCCGCTTCCCGTTGCAGCTCTGCAAAATCTCCCTTCGACCACTGGTCCATGCGGCGCTCAAGTATTTTACCATATTTATTATTGTCACAGTCCGGCTTCTGCAGCATTAGCATCTGGTAGACGGCTGCAATCTTGAGTGCGATCATTTCATACGATCCCCCATCTCCGAAGCAGGAATAGAACGATGTCAAGGTAGTGATAAATCGTCTTCCAATATTTCCAGACGGCACAGAGAAAGCATTCGGGCAAAAGTGAACACATTTGTTATATGCAGCCTCTATGGCTCCAGCTGTCTCCGCTGCAGACAAATCACCAAGCCTGAACTTCGGGTCGGAGCTAGCTATGGGTTCCGGCTGGGGCAGATCCAAGCCGGTCCGGACATCAGCTGAGCCCTGCACACGCAATGTCGACATAGCGGTATTCACTTCAACAGCATCCCCGGACGTGTGCCCCCTGGTCTCCCGGGAAGCAGAGTGTAAGTCACTTGTGGCTGGTACCGAATTACCACGCACAGGTCCCCCAGGCAAGGACCCGGTGTCATACACGCCTGGCGAGCATACTGGAGCAAAAGTGTCGACAGCGGAATGCGGATCAACCGCTTCCTGTCCATCAGGTAAGTTGGTATCAGCTCCGGTTTTAAAGGGTTCAATTCTTTTGTCATTTCTAGTATTGTCCACTTCACCATTGTCAGCTACCGGTAAAGACCGTGCATCGAGGCTCCTATCCAGCCGGCCAGCAGAAGAGAGAATGAGATCGCCCGACACTGGTTCATGTCCAGGTAGAACCGGCACTGGGCAAGCAGGAATACCCCGCCGCTGTGCCAAGCTGGAGTCAGCACCTCCCAAGGAACCATGAACCACTGTGGTACAGTCGCTTGGTGCATTGGAGTGCGCCGCCATCGGCACAAGACCTCTATCATCAGCTCGAGGTGGATGCGGATTGCGACATTTCCCATCCATCATTGGCCTGCAGTTTGTACAGGGCTGCTTGAGGCCGCAGCATCTACAGTCTCTGCACAGGTCACCGTTTGCAGCGCAGCGACAGCACCCCACCTGTCCGCTGTGGCCCTTCGCTCGCTCCCGCTGGCGTACACGGCTGCGCAGCGCGTCTACTTCACGTCTTGACGCTTCCTGCGCCCATACAGATTGGATATCGACATCGTCTTCGATCACGCGTGTACGGTCTGGACACCGCCGTGGCACCTGTGACCATTACACATTACGGGCTGAATCCGATTGCAGAGTCACAACTCCATGGTGCTTCGAGAGGGAAAGTGATTCCGTAAAAAGAAATATCGAGGAAAACAACGAGATTTCAAGACCTCCAGCAAGTCATTCATGCTATGGGAGAGTAAACTCCCCGAACAACTCCATTCGTAGGCGCAGTATGCCCTAGTGCACTGGAAAAGTCGAAAACTCGAAGAAATTCCTCCAAGAAATTCCTCCAATATCAGAGCCCAGAAACGCTCAACCGCTCGCGCTCGCAGTCAACTCATACTGCTGCATCCATGTACCCCTTGTGCCTTGCCACAAGTTCCCAGTTGACTGTGGGTAGCAGCACAGCTGGAAACACTGTTCCCAGGCAGGACTGGAACTAGGTACCTCTCGTATCTCAATCATGGTCTTTGACCAACCCACTGTGCCTGCCTGGTGACACCTTAGGACCCAAGATACTGCTCTGGGGCACCCCTCTGGAGATTGTGTAGCGAGAAGATATCTGCCTGCGGACTAATCACTGGAGTCCACAGCCGTCGAGATAGTACTATAAGAAGCTGAGGAGAGTGCCAGTAATGCCGAGCTAACAGACCTTGTAGAGGAGGCCCACGTGGGAGACTCGGCCAAAGGCCCGGCTATATCAACTGCGAAAATTCACTCCGCGCCGCCTTGGCCAATGATGCCCACCCAGGCGTTAATAAGTTTAAGCACGTATAGTGCGTATGCCATATGGAGACCCTGCGAAACCCAAACTGGTGTTGAATGAGACGCTGCTGGCGCTCATTTTACGATTGACACTAGTTTCCATTACTTAAGAAAGAAATATGGAAAACAACGAGACTGGGCGGTAGTTTTTTCAGAAATGAGCGCAAGGACCGCATGTGATTTGGAACCCTGTTACCTGTCTTCCAAGATTTTGGTTGAACTCCGCACCTGAAAAAGAGAGCGAAATAGCTGGGAAATAGGCTTCGCAAGCTGTTTTGCACACTACTTCAGGGCTCGGGGTGAAATGCCGTCAAGACCAGTAACCTTTGGTATGTCGAGTCGCGCTAGGAAACAATAGCCAGTTGCCGGGCGAAAATGAACGGCTGGGATTGCCGGTGATTCGGTTAGAACAAGGTTAGGTAATTCGTCAGCAGTAATATCCTGGCCAGTGACACTGCACTTCTTTGGGAAGAAGGTGGCAAAGGCCGATTTCTCACTGCTGGTTGCCCACGCCCTTCCGTCTGCACCAGCAATGAGAGGAAGGTCCGTGTTACGTCCGTGTCCACTAGCAAACTTTAACTTTGTCCTTGAATGAACCAGTTGAGAGGCTGTGACAAATACTGGCCTCTTTAGCTTCGTGGGATGGCATTAGGATATTGGAGGCTGTGGTAACGGAGCGGAGGCACTAACTTATGTACTGTGGGAGAACTGGAGCTATCTAGTCTCTCTATCACCCCTTTTCGCCCAACACAACACATCAGCGCAAACGGCAGCCTCTTGGTGGAAAGGTATGAACCACGAAAAATGCAAGTAGGAAATGGAGAGTGAACAAGAAAAGAACAACCAGAGCAACAAATCACGAGCACTTTGTCCAGAAAAAGACACGTCTAACATGGCATCCAAAATGGCGGCAGAGCAACCGATAGAGGCCCGTCGTGGCTGAAGCTGCTATTGCAGCGACAGCCACCACGGCCACCGTTGAGTGCAGAAAATAGAACTGAAAACGAAGTTGAGCAAACAGCAACTCGAACGAAGCAAAGAAAACAACAAGACCAGCTACGCGACTGCGCGCAGCAAGCAAAGGCATAGCGATGACATCATCAGTCACGCGTGAACACAGAATCTAGCATGCGCATGCAGACTTGCAGGCGCTGGCGAAATAAATAATGAAGTCAAGACGCAAACAAATAACACAACGAGTGACCGTTGCAGGAAAACAATTACAATTCAACTAAACTACTTCAAGGAAAGATGAGAAGTGAAACGAGTAGCCATAGAAGAAATAGAATGGAATATAGAACAAGGACAATAGAAGCGGACCACGGATGAAGCTACAATGAGGTAAGAGGCATGATACACTGATGACAGATGTCACCACAACAAATACATAATCGTTATGTTTGTCTACACACAAATTGTATCGTCACACTACACACATTGTATCGTCACACTGCACACATTGCCATATTGTCACAGTACTAACTGACCAACTCGGAGGGAGTTGTGGTTGCTCGTGAGAGTGCTCAATACACCAAGGTGCAGAGCCTAGTACACACACTTGAGAGGAATCAAACGCGTTTCTGCTCTAACTCTGAGTTTTACGGTTTCAACCGATCATCAGACAGCAACTTTACTACAATTTTCAGAAGATATAATATACTTCAAGTAGGCTGCAAGCTTGGCCTAAAGTTTATTCATTTTTTGCGCCTATTTTTGCACCCCATCAACCACCTCCCTCAATCATTTTCATAATTACACTATCAGCCCGGATCATCCATTCGCGCCATGATCCAAGCTTGCAGCCTATATCAATAATAATTATCTTCTGGAAATTGTAGTCAAGTTGCTGTCTGATGATCGGCTAAAACCATGAAACTCTCATAGTTACAGCAGAAAGGCTTTTGATTCCTCTCAAGTTTGTTTACTAACTGACTATGTGTATATCGCTTGGGGTAAATGAAGTATTGTTTTCCCAGTAGATTGTACCTAGTCCCAGTGTTAGTGATGTATTGAGCTAGTATTGTGACACTGTACTGTTGTGTATGCTCATGCAGGTCAAACTGTCATTCTAGGTGCTGCTGGTACAGGACAATCGATGGCAGCATTCACAGTGGCATTTGGTAATGGACAACCTACAGTCAATGTTACAGATTACTTACCTGTGTGCTTGGTGATCAGTGGATCAGGACCATTCATTCGACTAGAGAAGACTGATGGTAGTCTAGTGTTGGGTGAGACAGGTGCCTTCTCAGGAGTTACTACTGTACAGGTGAACAGCACAGCACATCCTATACTCGACACATCATACACTGGACTGTACCATTGCAGAACTGCTACACACAACTCAACACAGACATATCAACTCAACATTGTAGGTAAGTAAATACCGATTTCTTTCTTTCCGATGAATGCAAGGTGAACAAAATAGAGCAGTGATTTAATATGAGGCGCCCGAGCAACAGAAAGTCTCCTCCATAAGCACGAAGTTACATATTACCCAAGCAATGTCTCAGACGAGTTGCTGCACTCTTTTTTAATTTTTTTAATTTTTTTTGCTATGTTCACATAACCAGCTCGAAAATAATAAGGAAAGACAATGGTACAGAGACTAGGACAAACGTGACAACTAATAAGCAGGCGCTGCACCGAGACGCAGCAGTGATGGTGGGGCATTAGTGACTCTGCCGACCTGAGGTCTCGGCGTCATAGCCAAAAACACGCACCAAAAACAATGAAAAAAAAGAAGAACATAGCGCTGTACAGGTAAGGAAGATGCAAAAATCCAAGGCTTAACACGAGCGATTGTGGGGGAGAAACTGTCTTAGCATCATACTATTCATAGGGAATCGACTGCCCAGAGCCAGTTCGTGCTGCGAAGACGGCGGTAAACATTCGTTTTGAATGATTACATTCTCTTTCCCGGCAAAGGAAAGCGGCAGGGAGGGAAGTCCAATCGCTGATGCTGCAGTGTGGGAACGAGCGCTCCAGTACCAGCGGGGCAGATGCAGGCAGCTGGTGTTGGAGCTGGTGGTCATGGCCACTGGCAGCACCATGCTCGCTGCGAGTTCTGGGGTTGGTAGAGGTGATGTGGCGCGGTGGCAACACAGAGAGCAGCTGCGGAGGACCAGGCAAGTAGTGCCGCTTGTACAGACAGGCAAGGGAGGCAACAGTGCGGCGGATGGCCAGGCTGGGTAGGTGTGCCCCAGGGCCGATAGCACGAAGCGCGCGGCGCTGAACATTGTTCAGACGCTGGAGGTGACTCTGCGCAGCTCCCATCCATACAAGAGGCACATACTCCATGACTGGTCGTACGGACGCCTTATTTACGGTCGTCCGGCCGGCGGGGGTGAGTACACGATCAAAAGCTCCTGCGATGTCTACAGCAAGGATACCAGCCACCCCTCCACAGCCCACAGCGCTTGCCCAGGCAGTTTGGAGAGCTTGCAAATGTTGCTGATTTTCCGAGGCCTCTGTGAAATCCAAACTGGTGCGACGAAAGCAGATGGTGGTCTTCAAAATGGTTTACGATGTGTCTGTTTACAAGAGTTTCCATTACTTTCGAGATTATGCACAGTAAGGATACGGGCCTTTAGTTCTTAAGGGTTGATCGGGAAGATCGCTTGTGGATCGGAACCACGTTTGTTGTATACTTTATTTATAGTGGAAATCAAAACAGGCAAAATGCCTAATAACATTGGACCCACTGTGAATAACATGTTAAAGGATATTGTGGAAAAGTAGATTCAAGAGAAAAAGAGAAAGGAAAAAAACGGAAGGTTGGTTGCAACGAACAGATATCAATCCAGTGAGCATTTGAAAACCTTTGTCGCTGATAATATATACTGCAAGGCTTGAGATTAAAAATCCAAATACCTATTTGAACATTTTGCTGCTGGTGGCAATCTATTCCACATAATGGCTCCAGCGTGCGTTAGGCGCTTAGCAGAACGAGCAGTGCTAGCAGGTGGGACCACAAGCAAGTTGCTTTGGCCTCCCCGAGTGCGAGTTGAGGGCACGACAGCAAAAAAGGACTCAAATAGGGTGCTACATGCATCATGCAAACATCGCCAGATGAAACAAAACATATTCAAGTGCACAGAAACCTGTAGATCACAAACATGCATTCGATTTAGCAGGGGAGCAGTACTAGTCCACGGTGGCGACTTGCAGACTGCCCGAGCGGCACTTTTGAACAGCCTATGTAGCCGTTGTTCCTGGGCAACTGTCAAATACGGGTAGTAACTAATAAAAGCATACAAAATGCAGGCAAAATGATAGATCTGAAGTAGGTGAGTCGGCATGAATATGGCAGCGAGGAAGCATGTCGCAGCAGGACAGCAATTTTGCCGGCAACAAGACGAGCAACATGGTCCACCATTGTGGTCCAACTCATGTCCGAGTCAAAATGCAGGCCAAGGTATTTGGCAGTGTGACTACTGGTAGGACTTGTGAATTGCATACAACATTAATGTCGAGGGCTGCAGCTCTTTGGTGTGGTATGGCGAATATCTGCGTCTTGGTCTCTTTAAGGATCAGTCCACGTTTCTTCAACCAAGTGGCCAGGTACTGAACTGCTGCAGTGAGGCGCTGGGAGACAACTTCTGGCTGTGGACTGCTCGCACGCAGCGAGATATCATTAGCAAACTGAATAGTGGTGACGTCATGAAGGGCAAGGTCGCCGGCAATATCGCTCACATACAGAACGAAGAGCGAAGGTCCGAGAACTGACCCTTGAGGAACCCCTGACTGGCTGTCAAAAGTTGTACTTCTGGTTTTTCCTGTCTCCACGTATTGCCGGGGATACATCAAGTAGTCTGAAAACCATTGCAAAGCAGTGCTAGTGAGACCCAGTTCAAAGAGGTCCTCAACCAGAATGGTATGCTTTACCTTGTCGAAGGCTTTAGACATGTCGACAAATGCTACTCCTGTGTGCTGCCCAGCAGCTTGTGCTTCATTGATGTTCTCTACAGCTAGCGCTAAGGCATCTGCTGTGGAATGCTGGTGTCTGTAACCAAACTGACTAGTAGCAAGACATTGTTCGTGTTGAGGTACTGCAGAAGGTGCTTATGTACAATACGTTCAAGCACTTTCGACACTATCGGCAATAGGGAGACTGGTCGGTTATTCTTGGGTTGGCTGGGGTCTCCAGCCTTGAACAGAGGCCGTATCTTACCCACCTTCATTGCCGCAGGAAACTGTCCTTCTCTCAATGACTTATTAAATAGTAGCGTGAGTGACGGTGCCAGGATGTCAGCATGCATCTGGAGGACACTTTTGTTGTATACTTTATTTATAGTGGAAATCAAAACAGGCAAAATGCCTAATAACATTGGACCCACTGTGAATAACATGTCAAAGGATATTGTGGAGAAAAAAAAACAAAACAAAAAAACAAACAAAAAAAAAACAAAAAAAAACAAAAAAGTAGATACAAGAGAAAAAGAGAAAGGAAAAAATGACGGAAGGTTGGTTGCAACGAACAGATATCAATCCAGTAAGCATTGGAAAACCTATGTCGCTGATAATATATACTGCAAGGCTTGAGATTTAAAATCCAAATACCTATTTGAACATTTTGCTGCTGGTGGCAATCTATTCCACATAATGGCTCCAGCGTGCGTTAGGTGCTTAGCAGAACGAGCAGTGCTAGCAGGTGGGACCACAAGCAAGTTGCTTTGGCCTCCCCGAGTGCGAGTTGAGGGCACGACAGCAAAAAAGGACTCAAACAGGGTGCTACATGCATCATGCAAACATCGCCAGATGAAACACAACATATTCAAGTGCACAGAAACCTGTAGATCACATACATGCATTCGATTTAGCAGGGGAGCAGTACTGGTCCACGGTGGCGACTTGCAGACTGCCCGAGCGGCACGTTTGAACAGCCTATGTAGCCGTTGTTCCTGGGCAACTGTCAAATACGGGTAGTAACTAATAGAAGCATACAAAAATTCAGGCAAAACGATAGATCTGAAGTAGGTGAGTCGGCATGGATACGGCAGCGAGGAAGCATGTCGCAGCAGGACAGCAATTTTGCCGGCAACACGACGAGCAACATGGTCCACCATTGTGGTCCAACTCATGTCCGAGTCAAAATGCAGGCCAAGGTATTTGGCAGATGTGACTACTGGTAGGACTTGTGAATTGCATACAACATTGATGTCGAGGGCTGCAGCTCTATGGTGTGGTATGGCGAGTATCTGCGTCTTGGTCTCGTTAAGGATCAGTCCACGTTTCTTCAACCAAGTGGCCAGGTACTGAACTGCTGCAGTGAGGCGCTGGGAGACAACTTCTGGCTGTGGACTGCTCGCACGCAGCGAGATGTCATCAGCAAACTGAATAGTGGTGACGTCATGAGGGGCAAGGTCGCCGGCAATATCCCTCACATACAGAACGAAGAGCAAAGGTCCGAGAACTGACCCCTGAGGAACCCCTGACTGGCTGTCATAAGTTGTACTTCTGGTTTTTCCTGTCTCCACGTATTGCCGGCGATACATCAAGTAGTCTGAAAACCATTGCAAAGCAGTGCTAGTGAGACCCAGTTCAAAGAGGTCCTCAACCAGAATGCTATGCTTTACCTTGTCGAAAGCTTTAGACATGTCGACAAATGCTACTCCTGTGTGCTGCCCAGCGGCTTGTGCTTCATTGATGTTCTCTACAGCTAGCGCTAAGGCATCTGCTGTGGAATGCTGGTGTCTGTAACCAAACTGACTAGTAGGCAAGAAATTGTTCGTGTTGAGGTACTGCAGAAGCTGCTTATGAACAATACGTTCAAGCACTTTCGACACTATCGGCAATAGGGAGACTGGTCGGTTATTCTTGGGTTGGCTGGGGTTTCCAGCCTTGAACAGAGGCCGTATCTTACCCACCTTCATTGCCGCAGGAAACTGTCCTTCTCTCAATGACTTATTAAATAGTAGCGTGAGTGACGGTGCCAGGATGTCAGCATGCATCTGGAGGAGACTTGCTGGAATATCATCACTCCCAGTGGCTTTTCTGGTGTCCAACTGTTCCAACATTTTCCGAGTAGTTGCAATGGAGACTGGCAAGAATTCCGAGAAATGCACCGCAGGTGGAGGCCCAAGGGGTAGGCGTAGCTGTGCAGGGCGAGCTGGATCTTCCACAACTTTCGAAAAAGTGTCTCGAATCGCATCCACCGTGCACTGTGGATCCCTGAACACTTGCTGGAATATCATCACTCCCAGTGGCTTTTCTGGTGTCTAACTGTTCCAACATTTTCCGAGTAGTTGCAATGGAGACTGGCGAGAATTCCGAGAAGTGCACCGCAGGCGGAGGCCCAAGGGGTAGGCATAGCTGTGCAGGGCGAACTGGATCTTCCACAACTTTCTAAAAAGTGTCTCGAATCGCATCCACC